CAGATGTTATAAGGGCCAAAATGCTCAGACGGGAGAACAAATAATAAACGCCAAAACACGCACTTATGTGATGGCCATTCTCTTCTGGGTATGAAGAAAACTACACTATACAATACAACTTAAAGTGCTAAATCTAGGCATTGAGCAGATAAGAAAGGGGTTTAGGGGAAAGAGTGCCACGCTGCGAATACTAATTTGATTATCTCTTATCTCCAGTAAAACAGCTTATTGTCTGCTTTGAAAATACCACCGTGAGAGTGCTATTAGGCGCCTTTTGACGTCAGTTTTAACGATAGTTACGCACCACCAAGGAGAAAAATATATGACTCCTTAATGCAAATATTCCCTAAGTTCCGGTAGGGGCTGGTTTGCTTAGTAAAAAAAACAGTAGGAGGAACAGGGGAAAATAGATAAGGTTGGTTTCTTCCAACCTGCAATGAACAATGGTAGGTCCAAAGGCATTGGACAGAGGTTTCTCATTCCGTAGGCGGTTGTAAGCTTGAAGGAACTGGTAGAATTCTTCATTGCTCGGCAAAACGTGACCACTCCAGCCGAGAAAGTGTAGTTGCGTGAATGTCCAAGACTAAAACATAAGGATGTAAAACGGTTTGAGCAATCAAAATCTATCAAGAAAGGTGTCAGGTGACGATACAGTATCTCCAGGATGACCATGACGCGGAGGAGATGAATGTGACTAAAATTTTACTTTTCAGTTCAGCCTAAGTACACAGAAGATGAAGGAAGGACCTTCACCGAAAAAAAGGTTAATTGAATGTCTAACGTTTTGGTTAGTTGTGTCGTCTACCAGTCTTCAGAGACTAAACATTCCGGCTCATGGCTCCCTTCATACGCTAATCTTTTTTCGTCTGCACAATCTGCCAATACCAGCTTAGCTGCTGTGCGTGGCACGTATTTCACTGTCACTCGAGTCTCCGCGGCTGTGCTCCCCGTTGTATCGTGTCGACCTTTGTGCAACCCTGGCTTGTTTCATGGCTGCACACGCTGGCCGTATATATAGTCGGCGGCAATGACAGGTGCACCTTTGGAGAAAAGAATTGTCCAGCGAACAAACTACTTTCCCTTCAAATAAGAAGAATAATTCTCTTCCTTAGCGGGTTTTGACGCAGTTGACCACCGATTTCCAAGAATACTTTTTTTTCAAGGAACTTACCACCATGCGCTGTAATCAACGAGGATTAAATAAACATCGCGTTTTCCATGTTGTCTACACGTGAAACCGAGCTAATGTTTCTAGACTTGTCTTCTTGTCCACCATGCATGCAACGCATTATTATTGTGCAGAAAATACCACGGCATATCTACGGTCGTCTTGACTCAGCACTATGAACGGTTGCACGGTGAGTACTATATAAGGGACAGAGATGTCAGAAGAAGAAGCGTTCACTGCCACATAAATTTGCCTGTCCCCTATGTTGTTTTAAGAACCTTCTTATCAAGGGACAGTCATGACGTGGGAAAACGGAGGCCGCAAACTAGCTCCACAGCCAACGTGTATATACACGAAACAAGTCGGAGCGCGAGGGACGCGACGGGAAGAACGCACATGAAGACCAAACCAAAACACGCGGCACGGTGACAGACAGGGTAAAAGAGGAGGCCGAATGCGAGGCGCGAGCCACACACAGTGACTCAGCCGTGATTAGTAGAACACGCACAGCATAAAGACGAGGACCATGAGCCAGTGTGTCCATTCTCTGAAGATGGGTACACGAGAAAACTACCCGAAACATCAGACTTACAGACTTAATCCCCTCCCGGTGAACGCTCCCCTTTCTTCTGATTTGCCACCTGGGAATCGAACTTTCAGCACTATTACAGCAAGAGACGTGTCCTCAAGATCTGACCGGGTCAGATTCATTTGCTGCCGTCGATCGCCTTCGGTTGAGCAACATAGCGAGGAAACATAATATTTAAGTGTAAATTAAGTAATAGTTACTCATTAATTAATTATTCGTTGAATGTTACAGTGATAAAACGTGAAAAAACACTAGCCCGACAGAGGATGAACGAGAGCAGATCGCAAGCAAAGCTGACAAGGCCGACAATGTCGTAAACCAATCATACAGCCAAAATGTGTCCCAAGAGGTCCACTAGGAGCGATAAAAACTAAAGAAGGAAACAAGGTACCGGCAACCACAGCAAAGCCAAAGCAACAACGAGAAGAAGGCGATAAGCAGGCAAAGGCAACAGCAACAGGGAGCATCCAAAATGGCCAAACAGGGACACAACGAGTCTCACCTGGCGTGGAGAAGATCAGCTAGGCAACAGAATTAATAAATGAACAGGGGGGCTTCCAAGAAGCTGTGTGGGTGAGATAAGTGAGAGGGGGTTCGAAAGAGGCAGTGGTCTTACAGACCATAAGTGCGACACACCTACCATTGATTTTCCTTCCGGTTGCACCGTCAACACCCTTGTCACCATGAAGGGCGACGAATTCGCTTCCGAAAGGGTCACAGTAACAGTTCGTGTTTGACTCCTCTTCTCCTCTGGCACGTCTACTGCGGTCGGCCAGTACTGAGCACACTTGGCTTTACCTCCCTCCTCGTTGCTAAATTTGATCAACAAATATAATAGTGCGAAAGGACTCGTGCAAAGCAGATGCTAAAGCAAGAAGCGAGAAGTTAAGGGGGAGAGGGTTGATTTAAATCCATTAACTGCTACGATATAGCTGATTTTGTGCCACGACAAGAAGCAACTGCAGGGGGTTTGGAACATCCCCAGGTCTCCCAGCGTTCCTCAGGAGCTATCGGGTGCATATTGCACTTCTAATATTTTAGCCTTTGTAATGCTCATAGAAATTATTGTACTAACTGGAAAATCAATGGGTCCCTCGAGCGTTAATAGATTTGACACAAGCTTTACAGGTTCAATCCTGGAGATGCTATGCAAATGTGAACTAAAATATGTCGGCTTTAGCCAAATAACCGACGGATAACCACATATTGCCTATTGGTAACAAGCCCTGTGTAGGTAGTCACTGCTGTACCGTAAATCCATCATGCGACTTGGTTGAAGGGCCATAAACGTGTTCAACATCTGCATCAAATTTGTGAACTGCTAAATATTGGGAATCTTAGCTAGTACTCGTCGATGAAGGTGCAGCTTTTTGACACACGCCTAGGTGGTACTGAATTAAGCGTTGTCAGTGACGAATCCAGTGGGAGTGGGGGAGGAGGAATTAAGCAACGATTTGTCCCCACTCTGATGTCTTTGTTTGCTACGCACGCTCGCCGTGCGTATGTGGGGTCAAAGCGACAATAACGATCAACAGTCCGGATAGGAAAAAAGAGCTGTTGGTAAAGGCTTAACACAACTCTCACTCTGGAGGGCTCCGAGAATACGTGAACCAGGAGTGGCTACGGTAAAAAAAACGCCCAAGACGCAAATAGACGCCCACTGCAACGCCATATCTGCGACATCTCAGCCTACTAAAAGTAGTCGAGTCACTGTAGAAGCTCAGCATGCCTTCTGAATGACTATTGCATTTCACGGTTTCGCGTTGGTGTGAGTTGGCTCAGAAGGACTGTCTTTAGAGGTCCCACTTGCATTTGACTTATAACAATAACCTAGTTTTACATTTTCAGTAACCCGACCTTCCCTTTCTTTCGTTAAACTCCACCAATACTAGGTGGAATTTCCCTCAATAGGCATCAGTTGTCTGAGCAACAAACGTTTATGTTGATGGTGTTGATTCTATTTAGTACATTGAAACAAATATACATTTCTTTAACTTAATATTTGTTGATCACTTCCAACACACTTAAATATTTATTTTTTCTCGCTAACCAAGAATTAACGGTTTAATCACAAATAACCTAAGAAACT